CCACATTAAGGCATTCTGATGCTCCTGTTCTGATTTCATGCATCAACTACAAACTACTTTTTCCGGATACTTTTCATTAGAATGGGAGATGTGATTCCTTGTATTAGTAATGCAATCCAGAGCCAGCTTTTTATCTGATCATATGCAGTCCGGCTCAGGGATTTGCTGTCATCTGATGGCTGTTGGTTGGCCTCCAAGATGAAGGTTGCTGTCGTGAGGGACCAAATGATCAGAAAGACAGTAGTTAATTATGACATTTTAATGACATTTTAAGTTAATGCCATGGGCAGAATGTTTGACACCAGGCTCCTATAACATGCTGCTGCAGTACCTATTCCACCCGGAAGGAAGTTTTCCTTTTCCAGGGGCATCAAACCAGCATCTCTCAGAAGCACGTCTATAAACTCACTTTAAAGAGTTTCTTAGAAATTGGCTAAACAAGTCACCTGCGCTGTGATGTTGCAAGGATTTCTGTATATATTGAACTTGATCACCCCTTTGACTTCAGTGTAACTATTCACAATACATAAAATTAAGCACACATGTAATCCTTTGTTGATTATATGAAGTACTCTTGTGTTGGCATAAGAATGCTTTGCTCTGTTACCTTGACACGTGTCCTAATTCCAGGGGTGGAGGCATGTTTGCAAAGCAGAATTCGTGAACAGGAGGAGAAGTATGAAGTCGGTGGTGGTCCACAAAGAGGCAGACTCAACCAAGAGCAGCTGGTAGCTATTTAGATACATGTTTCTAAAAATGATGTTTTGTTTCACTGCCCTCTGCTGCTGGCATGGATGAGCGATTTAATACTTGAATGCACACTTATTGAGGTGTTTGTGGGAGAGGTGATTGAATTTCCAATTAATGATGGTCTCAAACAAGTAATGGATATCGGATGTATATTCCCATAAACCTGGCCAAGACTTTAGAAGGAAGTTTCAGTTATGATTAAAGGAGTTTCATGAAATACAAAGGCTGAAGTTTCCTCTAGGATTCTCCAGTCCTGTTTCAGTTGCTACTTGGAGTGACTCCCATCTGAAAGGAAGGGAAAATATTGTAATTATTTTTTATGCAGTCTAAGTCCATCCTACTTTTTAGCTGACCTCTCCTTATTTAAATGGGCCAGTGCTCTGATGTGATTGTATCACTTGTAGTGTTGTAGCACCTAGCGGTCCTCCTCAAGGATCAGGACCCCATTGTGGTAGACCCCATAATAGAACAAAACTGTGTTCCTTGCCCCAAGGAGCTTACAGTCTAATGAAATGCCTTTCCGCTACTAGCTTTAATTGGTTGGCAACATTTATTAAGGTTTCAGAAAAGCTGACGTAGTAACTTGTAACACAACTTAGCCCATATTTTCTGATGCATCAATTTAGTCAATGCTTGATCTGATGACTTCATCATATGCAGGGCTCTGGATCCCTGGACTTACTGTTTCTTGTCATCTTTTTTTCTTAGCTGCCTAAGTTGTTTGATGGTTGCTACTTCTATTTTTTGGGAACTTTCAATCACCACCAGAAGAATGACCTCATTGAGCTGGTTAAAGCGGCAGGAGGACAAATCCTCCTGAGACAGCCAAAGCCAGATAGCGACGTGACACAGACCATCAGCACGGTGGCGTACCATGCTGAGCCTGGCTCTGATCAGTGTTTCTGCACACAATACATTATCTATGATGTGTCTTCTAAATACAACCCAGAGAAAATTCGCCAAGGCAAAGTCTGGATGGCCCCCTCCAGCTGGCTCATAGACTGTGTCATGTCATTTCAACTGTTACCTGTTGCAAAGTGAATATCCCAGCAGAATGAGCAAGTTTCTTAAACGAACTCTGGGGCTCTTGAGCAGTGGGAACACACCGCTGGGCGGTCTAGAATCCGAAGCACTCTTCGTTATTCCCACTTACAACCACGGTGGAACCTATTCATGATGCGAGACTCGGTGTGAATTGCTGAATTTTGTGGATAAATGTGTAAACAACAACAAAAACGTAAGGATAATGCATCAAGAATGTACGTGAAGTTCATTTATTTGACAGATAATTTTAATTCTATTTCAGCATACTAATAAATGTCTCTTATAGTATTTTGTAATTTATAACAGTCTCTGTAACATGAGACCTTTATAATCCTCTTGGTTGCTCAAACTTTTTCTTCAAAATGGATGAGAACACCGTTTCTTATCTGTGACCTATAAATGAACGGGGTTCTGCCATAAGTGTCATGCATTAGAATTCCCTTCAAGGCCAAGAATTAAAAAATAGGGACTCTACGTGTTTAAAATCATATTTCTGCATCTGCCTAATTTCACAGTTGTGTGCTCCGCCCTTCTGAAAATTGGTCATGTGCATAAATACAGATTTAAGAGCCTAACTTGTGACTTCCCCAAAGAATTCAAACCTACCCAAGTTACTTAGGACCAAGTCCTATTAGACATTCAATAGGATTTGTGGTCTTATGTCACTTATGCACCTTTGAAAATCCCAGCCCTGGATTTAAAAATCTTGACCTTATCCTAATTGTTCATGTTTTATAACAGAATATTAGTCATTATTGAAACTCGTTCCACTTTCATACCTGTAAATATGTAACTTTTAAAAACTCTAATAACATAACATCTCTTTTCAAGCATGATTTTTTAAAAAGTTGGATTTAGAACGGGTCTGTTTATAACTATTCCAAATTATTTTATCCATGCGTATTCATGGCAATTGTATTACATATGTCACTGCTATCATAGCCTCTTTAATGGGAAAACTGTGGCATCTGAAAGCATAAACTTGTGCCTTTTTAGGAAATAGAGCATTTTATTAAAAATGTAGCCTGGTTGCATTTGAGTGAAATTTGACATTTTCCATATTTTGTTCTAATCACTGATTTTTTTATTGAATCCTTTATTGCTTTCGTAATTGACCACAGTTTATGTTAATGTCTACAATCCTGCTTTCTTTTAATGCATTCAAATGGCTTTCATCCTGTAGGTTGCATCAGGTATAAAATCATGACTTGGAGCTGTGTGATTGTAATGATTTTGATCTAATGATAATGATGGCTGTGATGGGATTAAGCCTTTGTGTTCGCTTTTTGTATTGCATGTAATAAAACTTATGGTGCCAATGACTTTAAAATTTATTACATAAATTTAGCTGCAGAATAAATATGAAGCTAGTACATAACTTCACAAGAATTTCAGAGTTATTTGCATAAATTCCCGACACAGCAGCTGAGCACAACAAAGATCCTGTCTGAGAGACTCATTCTCTTCTGAGGGAGGGACAATTGATTTCTTTCCTATACCCATTGTCACTGGGGAGTCTAGGCCATTTCCATTATTTACCATGGAGCTCTTTGGGGAATGTTGCTTTCTTCACAGACTGTAGAATAGATAAAAATTTCAAATGTGCCAAAGTGACTTTAGGAGCTGAAGTCCCTGGGATGTAGATTTCTCATGTAGACTGTGGACTGTCACCATATATTAAAAGCAAATCTCCGGGGAGCTGACAGCCTTGTGGGGTCTGCTCCAGGAAGGGGTGGGGCCTCAGCTGGAAGGGGCGGGACTGGGACAACCAGCTCTCAGTACTGGCCAGACTGTGGTGCTGCACCACCACCACTCCCCTTTCCCCCAGCCCTCAGCATTGCCTGGAGCATGCTGCGTGGTACTTTCGGAGATTTGAACGGCCATGGGACTCTGGGCGCTGTTGCAGTTTCAGCGGTGGCCAGGAACCCAGGGCCGTTCTGAACCACCAAGCCCTTGGGGTAGTTGCCCCCTTTACCCCACCTTGTTGGTGTGCTTGCGGGTCTCATGCACTTGGCTGTTTGTGCTCAAGTGCATGCACAAATTTCACTAACAATTGTTGCAAACGGCACATTTTTGTGACTATGCAAATAACTGAGTAGACACTACAGAGATAAGCATATATTTAGTTCATTTATTTTGACACCTGTAGTTCAGTTAACACTGAAATACCAAATGTAAGTAATGTAAATACTATGGTTTACCTCAGAAAAATAACTCGATCATTGCTGGTGTGAAGTCGCACAACTTTACACTAATAGGTAATTTAACCCTTTGAGAATGTACTAATCACTCTTCTCAGAATTTGAATAGAAGAGTCCATCATTTGGGGAGAAAGAGGAGAATGGCATGTTATAACAAGGAAAAGTTACGTACATGGGACTTAAGGACCGAACAGAGGTGAGATTAGAAATGACAAAGTTGCTACCCATCCTCCTAAATTCATCTGTTTTGCTTGCAAGTGTACAGGCAGTCCCTTGGTTACGTACAAGATAGGGACTGTAGGTTTGTTCTTAAGTTGAATTTGTATGTAAGTCGTAATTGGTACATATTGTAGGGGAAACTCTAGCCAACTGCTTCCTAAAAGGGATGGGAGAATAAGCCTCTGTAAATCCATGGTGTGCACACATCTTGAATACTGCATACAGATGCGGTTGCTTCATCTAAAAAAAGATACATTTGCATTGGAAAAGGTTCACGAAAGGGCAACAAAAATGATTAGGGTCCCTCGTGAGAGATTAAAAAGACTGGGACCTTTCAGCTTAGAAAAGAGGACACTAAAGGGGGATAGAATAGAGGTCTATACAATCATGACTGGCATGGAATAAGTGAATAAGGAAAACTTTATTTACTTGTTCTCAACATAAGAACTATGTTATGTTAACTTCACCACATGAAATTAATAGGTAGCAGGTTTATAACAAACAAAAGGAAGTTTTCCATGCAGCACACAGTCAATCTATGGACCTTGCCAGAGGATGTGGTAAAGACTAGGACTTTAACAAGGTTCAAGAAAACTAGAGAAATTCAGGGAGGTTAGATCCATCAATGGCTATTAGCCAGGATGGGCAAGAATGGTGTCCCTAGCCTCTGTTTGTCAGAAGCTGGAAATGGATGACAGGAGAGGGATCATGTGCTGATTACCTAGTCTATTCACTGCCTCTGGGGCATCTGGCATTGGCCACTGGCGGAAGATGGAATACTGAACTAGATGGAGCTTTGGTCTAACCCAGGATATGTCTACGCTACACTTTTTTGGAAAAAGGTATGCAAATTGCACTCCGTAATTTGTGTACCTTTTTCCCATTCTTTTTTCGGAAGAGACTTTTCTGAAATTTGACTTGTATACATGGGGCCAAATTTCGGAAAAACCTCTTTTGGAGGAGCCCTTCTTCTTTGTGAAACAAGGTTTACAGGGCTTCCGAAAGAGTGCGTCTGCTCTTCTAAAAAACGCCGTAGTGTAGATGTAGCCCCATTATGGCCATTCTTATAGTCCTTTCTGGGCAGCTGTTATTTACTGGTGAGGTCCATTTTGGGTGAGTAGAGACTTGCTAGAGCAGCTCTCTACTTGCCCAAGCAGAGCCTGCCCATCTATGCTACCATTTCAGCACAGCTTTTTCTGATCTCTTCTCTGCCAGAGCCTTTCATGGGTACATGTAACTGCCTATAGTATGGACACAATCTGCTTCTCACCATGCCATCTAGCTCCATGTACGCTCCATCCCACAGATAACGATGTGTTGTGTAGGTGTAGCCTGATAATGCGCTGGACTTTGTGAAGCCTGATGTAGTTGTTGCCCATGAAGGCCTACTTCCATCACGGGGAGGGGAGGAGGAGGAGCAGCAGTAAGGCCTGAGCTTCCCTGGCCTCTGGAGCAGCGGGAAGGGAGGTGGCTGTGTGGCCCGAACCTCCTTGGAGCAGCCCAGAGAGAAGAAGCTGCGTGCCTCCAGCCTCCCTGGGCCCTGGAGCGGTAATGCTCCACCCCAGAACACTCCATCCTCTTTTGAACCCCCCTTCAGGAAGTTGCAGGCTTCTATTAAATCCCCCCTCACTCTTCTCTTATGCAGACTAAACAAGCCCAAATCCCTCAGCCTCTCCTTGTAGGTCATGTGCTCCAGCCCCCTAGTCATTTTGGTTGCCCTCTGCTGGACTCCCTCCAATGCGTCCACATCCTTTCCGTAGTGGGTGGCTCTGAATTGGATGCAACGCGCCAGCTGTGGCCTCACCAGTGCTGAATAAAGGGGAATAATGTGACCCAATGAGGCCTCCTTCTGAGCTGGAGAGAAGACCACCAACACACTATACAGCTAAGTAGACAAGACAGACAAGGTGAGGGGAAGAGAAGCATAAAGGTCCCGAAGCAGAGCCAGGAGCAGAATGCAGCTTTCCTGATTCCTAATCCAGTTCTCTGACCCCTTACCGCTGTCTCACAATTAAGTGCTTTCCTTTCTTCTCTGTTTGCTTTCAGAGGGCGTTTTTAGCCCTAGTTTTTAGTCCTTCCAGAAGAATGACGTGTAAATGGACCATACTAAATTGATTCCAGTCAGTCAGCATGCTGCACTGAAATTGGGCCACTCTGCATTCAAATTCTGCGGTAAAATTGAAATTTTTTGCGGCAGTGTGAAATAAAACCCAGAAGCCTTCTCCTGAATGGCATATTAATATGGAGGCCATGCTGTGCGATTGTGTTAGCCACATTCCTATTTAATTCAGAAGCGAGGTCTCGGGTGTGGAAGGATTTCTTCCCCCCATTTATTTTGGGTGGTGGCAGAAATGGGAGTTTTTCCATCTTGCGGCTCTCACTGTAGCCGGTGCCAGACGCGCTGGCGGGATTGGCAGCTGGAAGTCAGGCTCCCGGGGAGAGACGGTTTGGCAGCTCAGAATGATATACTGTGCAGAAAAGCTGCAGTTCAGAAAAGCAGGCAGACTTGCTGCGTGAGGGACCAAATGCAGGAGTTCCACTGTGTCTCCTCTAAGCTTTAGACATGGCCTTTTTTAGAGTATCATCCCATGTCCTGAATGCAAGTGGCTTCTGGGGCCTTTGCATTAGGCTCTGGCTCCAGAATCTGTGCCTATTACATGGCTGGCAGCTATGGTAGGCAAGGGAAGGCATTGCCTTTCCTGGTGCTGACACCAACCTGTGGCCGGACAATGGGCTGCCGTGCCCCCTGTTCCATGAGAACCCCACTGCCTCCTCCACTCCATCCCTTAAGTCCCTGCTGCTCGCCGCATCCCTCCTGTGAGAGGTGACATGGAGAGCCAACAGACTGAGGAGACTCGACAGGGGAGGACTTCAGAATAGAAGGAGCTGGTGTTCAGAGAGGCTGCTAGCAGGGCCAAGCCCGACTGGTAGCAATGGGGCTGGCCCAGTGCACGGGGACGGCTTAGCCAGGAACTAGGATTAATAGGCCCCTCAAGGCTTTTCATTTTACAGGAGGTGGAAGCGGTTTTAGGGCACCAGCTTGCATGGGTGGAGCCTTGGACAGAAGGGGTGGGGCTGGCAGGCTTGCCTCCCCAAAGCAGGGGTTCACCCACCACCCCTGGCCTATTGGCTGCTGCTAATGAGGAAGGTACCATAGCCTGGGCAACAAAGTTGTATTGTGTTTAAGCCAGCTCTAGCTTCCATATTGTGTGTGAAACTCTACCAGCCCCGAACAATTCTTTATAGCCCTAGGCTGAAGGTTTCATAGAGAAACTAGCATTAATACAAGTGTTAATTTAATTTAACTGTAGCCAAAGCCAGGAGAGTTCCCTCCTCCTCTCTCCCCCCCCCCCCCCCCACACCACTGCTATGTTTTTATATGTAGCCCAAGCCATCAGATTCCCAATTCTTTGCTTTTAACACACTTGTCAAAAACAAAGAAGTAAAACCATTCGGGCATGAAATCACACTGAGACCTTGTTTCCTAATGACGGCCTGCCATGGACGTCCATGTCCAGACCCGGCACAGACTGTTGTGCATTCTGAGAGAAGTTGTTGGGTGAAAGATGTCCTCTCTGGCACAGTGAGAAAACCAGAAAATACCCTGACCATATCAGCCCTGGGCTGTTCTCCAACATAAACACATGGGTGCTCATTTTCCAAAAACCTCTGCTCTAATTTAACCCCCCTAATTAAGGACTAGATATTCAGGAATGCTTGACACCCAGCGCCATCTGCCTCACCACTGATGGGCAGGTTTGCCAAAGAGCTTCACACCCGCTGTTCTTGGCTCTTTACACAATCTCACCGCTTGTTTTGGGGCCTCAGTGGGACCGTGGGGAAATTTGCCCTGGCGTTTTGGGTCTTCAGCACTCGAAAAGTCAGCCCTTAGGAGAAATCCAGGGCGTGCTGAAGTAAGACTCCAATTAATGGCAATGTGTGTTGGATTGCCCCTTTTAA